TTTTTTTTAATTGTTTATGTTTTTTTTTAATTTATTTTCGAGACAGAGAGAGACAGAGCATGAGTGGGGATGGGGCAGAGAGAGGGGGAGACACAGAGTCAGAAGCAGGTTCCAGGCTCTGAGCTGGCAGCACAGAGCCCGATGTGGGGCTTGAACTCACAGAGTGTGAGATCATGACCTGGGCCGAAGTCAGATGCTCCACCGACTGAGCCACCCAGGTGCCCCATGCACCCCAAGATTTTGCTAGGACTAACATTTTAACGGACATATGTTTTTAATTATGCCCAAGTATTACGGTACTTACCCGACTGAATCCTCACCGAATGGGCTGTTTTCACGTAATTACGACCGACCACTGACAAACCAACCGCGCTTTTCCAGTGAGACAGCAGGAGGCCCCGGGCCCACAGGGTCTGCTCCCTGTCTCTATCTGTCTCTGTCTGTCTCTGTGTGTCTGTGACCCTCTCACCTGGTCTGAACACAGGTGTGTCCCCACCTGCGATGCCCCCGGGCGCCGCTCTCCACACCCTCCCTCTCCACGCTACCACGTGGGGCCGGCCGGGGCCTATCCGGCCACCCGTGCCACGTGGCAGGTGACGTGGACAAGAGCAACCTGCAGCAGTGCCAAAGGGCGATGGCTGAACACACCATTCCTTCCACAGCACTGCCTTTCCACAAGCTGTGTCGTCCTCCAGCTGGTGGCCTGGTTCAGACTACGGTTTGTTTTAAACTGTGTCCTATTTGAGAGGAATGCTCAGGGTCAGATGCGCTGTGGGCAGGACTGCCAGGCCCGGGTCGGAGGGGACCTGTCCCTGCACTGGCAGGGTGCCTACTCACCTTCGGGGACACTCGGCCCGTCTGTGTCACGGAACCCGCGCCAGACCCGGGGCTGCGGCCCCACGTTAATGGGACCCCAAAATAGCTTCTGCTCAGCCACAGGTGCACGTGGGGCCCTGGCCACTGCCCTCTCCCAGCCACCGAGGCCTCACCTGGTCTGCCACTCGGCCTCCTGCTTGGCCCGTTCCCTCCGGGCCTCCCGCTGCTTCTCTTCCAGCCGCTCCTTCTCCTGGCTCGCCAGATCTGGGGGCCAAGCACACGGCGTGGGTAAGGACTCAGAGTTGACGGTGAGGCTCCCGGCTTACAACCAACGGAGGCGAGGGTGGAAGGAAACAGACAGATGCGGCAGCGCCCCCACCCCCAGACCCTAGGTGAGAAGTCACGCTGGTCAGAAACGTCGTCGTCTGCAAACCACACCCGGTCACGAGGCTACAGCAGAGCCCCGACCCCAGTGTGGCTGCGGGGAGAGGCAGGCCTTTCCCCCGCACCGCAGGAGGGCGCAGCAGGGCTCGGAAAGGAGCACCATGCAAGGGCAAGCTCAGGCTCACGGGCGACTTGACCCTCAGGGCAGGGCCGGGGCCAGAGGGGGCCGCTTCCCACAGAGGACCGTCCCGCGTAACCTGACCCTCGGGGCTCTGTGGCCCGGTCCCGGGTTTAGGTGCAGACACTGGTCCTGGAGAGTGGGGGTCTCCCTGCCCTGTGCAGTCCCTCCACTCGACACCGACCGTGTCCACAAAACCCAGGACCGCTTGGGACGGCCCTCTGGCCAGTGGCCCACCGCACGGCTGACGTGGACGGGTGAGCCGGCGTGCGGCCGCTCCCTCGTCACGCGGAGACATCCACGGTGCGCGAGCAGCCTGGGCCTGGGATGCGGTCCTACACTGACTTTGGACGGAGAACACGTCCAACCTTGGAAACGTTACCCCAATTTCGCTGGTAAGAAGAACCGGGGGACTCGTGTTTCGCACGCATTGTCCTTCATTTTTCTAGTAACTTAATCGTATCCTACCCACAAGGGGACTGGTCTGCAGCAGGCTGGGATTTCTAAACCTCTTCCACCTCGGAGAGTGCGAGATGCACTGTCCTCGGTCTCCCTGTCTGTCCACCTGCAGCACGGGCGCCCCCCGCCCCCACCGGCCCACGAGCGCACCCATGTCGCCGTTCTCCATGCCGCGGATGTCGGGGCGCAGGCGGCAGTCCGTGGGAGCCAGGGTCTTCTCCATGCCGCTCTGTAGCTCGTTGAGACTGACGGTGAAGCTGGTAAAATTGTACATCTGGGGGGAGAGGCGCGGAGACCCGTCACCACGCTGGCATGTTTCCGCGCTCCGCTCAGCTAGGCCACTCGGGGCGGCTGGGTCCTGGCCACTCCTGCCGGTCCACGCTCTGCCCCACAGTCTGTGCGGACGCAGCCCCACAGCCGCCCCCCC